GCCTTTGTTATGAAGAGCAGAACACTCTGGGCTCATTTCACAAGGGTTACTTTCCCCTTTCCCCACTGCCAAAGCACAAGGAGATTTTTTTCCTCCCATCTTCACTCTGAGAATTGCATTGCAGGGCAACTGGGTACACGAAATTATCTTAAGCAAATGCTGAGTTAATTCCAATGAGACTGTTCTAGTGTATCACTGAGTTGGGAGAGGTGATTTAAGTCTTCCCTTGACCCCTCATTAGCATGTGATCCAAGGGCAATTGACATTTTAATGTTTTAAAGCCTTGCCTCTTACCTCAAAGAGAAACCAGTGGGTAGTATGAAAGTTTCCCTCAGCTTTCCGCCCTTGTCTTCCACCTGCTTGACTATATTTAAAATACTCACTAAAGGAGGAGAGGTCATTTTCTGTCTATGGCTGATCACCCACTCCCTTCCACATCCTCAGTGCTCCGAATCTAACTACTTCCCATCTCTCCATCGATTATTTCTCCTTTCTCTCTTACCTTCAACCACTGCAACTCTGTTGGACTTTCTCATTCTGCATTTAGAAAGCTCAAATTCCTCCCATATTGAAAGTGGAAGCAGGATGCAGAGGAAAGGCCATTCTTATAATTTCTGTTAGGAATATAAATTGGTATTTTCTTTCTGTAAAGAAAATTGGCAATGGGAATCAAGGCTTTATATAAATGTAATTTGGTTTATCAGTTTTGGTTCTAACATTATATCCTTGGGAAATAATCTGGTATGTGCTCTTATGTGTATAAATGTTTTACCTGTTGGGAGGTTCATCACAACAATGTTTATAATAGGGAAAAAGTAGAAACAAATATTCCTCAGAAATCTGTTAAATTCATATGTCATTTAATGTGTCAGTGTTGAAGAATTTGAGATAATGTTTACAATACATTCAGTGGGAAATGGAGATTACAAAATAATTGAAAATAATAAAATAATATGTGTATGTATGTGTGTGAAATTGTGTATATGTTTTACACACAGGCACATGTGCACACATACACACCCCTACTTAGAAAAAGATTAGAAAAGTATATCTTCCAAGGGTTACCTCTGAGTGTAGAATAAGATTATTTCTCTCGTTATGTTTTTCTTAACTTTCTTTACTCATTATAATTAACATGAGTTGCTTTTTATTTAACTCTTTACATTTCTTTCCAGCTGATATGCACAAAAGAAGAAAGAACAATGGAAGAGTCCAGGGAGTTGATAGAGTAAATAATGGTAAGTGAGAAATTTCTAGAAATGAGATAGCAAAATTCTTGTTCAGAACAACCTACTTCCTCATTCCCTTTATATCAATAGCATTAAGATTGATTGTGGATCACTAAGTTGGCAAGATATGTTACATTTCTCACACCCTGTCCATCCATCCCATTTTTTGAAGAAAAATCTTGGTAGTAACAGATTTGAAATGAAAAAAAAAATCCTGCTATAAACATCTGGCTAGTAGCTTTTATTTACGTTACAAGTATAAACTATGAACCAAGGCCCTAAAGATTTTAAATTATACTTATGCTGAGTTTATGCTATAATTTTAATAAATTACAGGTTAAACACAGACTTATGTTCAAGCTCACTGATTCTTTCCTCAGAAGTATCTAATTTGCTGATGAGACTGTAAAGACATTTGTCATTTCTTTTTCAGTGCTTTTTATTTCTATAATTTCCTTTTGATTCTTTCTCAGACTTTCTATCTCCTTACCTTATACTCAGTTCTGACATGTTTTCTGGTTTTTTCATTAGAGTCCTTACACTGTTAATCATTTATTTTAAATTCACTCTTTGATAATTTCAAAATCTACATTATCTCCAAGTTTGCCCATGAAACATGCTTTGTCTCTTCAGACCTTTAAATTTTGGTGTTTGGTTTTGTTTTTTGTCATTTAGTGTACCTTACAATTTTTTGTTGAAATTTAAACATGATAAATTGAGTAATGGGAACAGAGGCAAAAGGCCTTTAGTGTCGAGTTTATTTTAGTATGGCTATAAGTTGGGTTATTTAATGTTTACTGTAGCTATAGGTGCCAGAGACTTTAAATTCCTCTATGAACTTTTTTCTTGTTGCCTCCTTAATTATGGGCCACACCTTGTAGCTCTTTCAGCTATAATCTGCTGAGATCCATATTACATTGAAGCCCTATTCATGCAGTGGTAAGATATGGGGGAGGAGAATCATTTATAATCTTGTGATTAAATCTCAATATTTTAATGGGCCTGTGTCCCTGGACTGTGACCTCTATAAGTATCTTTCAGCTTCCTCTTAGGTGAGACAGAAAGGCTGACATGACTGTAGCTGCATAGATGTTCTTTTCTCTTGGTGGGGTAAGATTCTGGTAAAGTTTTTGCCCTCGGAAAGGGCATTCTCTTTATTATAGAGCATGTCTGGGGCACATTCCAAAATGGTACATTTTCCCCTCACCCTACCAGAGCCAGGAGGACATTTTTTTCCTTGGCTCTTCACCATGAAGACCTGGTTGAAGTCCTGAAAGTAAAATCCATGGAAATGTGAGGCTCAGGACTCCAGGGGTTTTTCATTCACAGTTGATTTTAGCTGTGATTTTTCTGATTTTTGCCCCTCTCCAAAGTTCACTGTGACACGTTACCCTGCAACTTCAATTCTCTGCAACTTCAATTCTCTGAATCCAAGAAAAGTCATTGGCTTTCAGATTTTTTTTAGGTTTTAAGAATGGAGTGATAATTCTTGAGCTATTTACCTGGCAGAGCTGATGCTGCAATCCAGTGTCTTTAATTGTAATTAATTTAAATTTAAGTATAAAAACTGATATTCAAATCTGCTATCAGAACATTTTTTGTATGTTTAGAACAATTTGGGCATGGAAATCTATTCTTTCAACTGTAAATTATATTAAGTCCACATAGATCGCATGCTTTCTATGAAAATTTACCATTCAAACTGAAGCATGCTGGAAGTATGAAACGTACACCGGATTTCAAAGGCTTAGCATGAAAAACAAAATGTAATGATATCTCATCAATATTTTTTAGTGTTGATTGCATATTGAAATGGTGATATTTTGAATACAATGGATTTAATAAAATTGTTAATATTGATTTATCGGTTCACTAAATTTTTTTTCTTAAAAAAAAAGATTTTATTTATTTGAACAGTTTCAGGTTCACAGCAATAGAGCAGAAAGTTCCCACACTCCCTCTCCCCTCATGCACAGCACCCCCCCCATTCCTTTTGCTTATGTGAGTGCACTGTGAAAATGTTCTTAACATAGAAAGGCAAGTCAATGGTGGGTTAAGAATAAAAAGGGAAAGGCCTGTTCACCATCACCTGCCAACTCCTCTGCTTCCTCTGATGGGTTCACTAAATTTTTAATAGATGGTATGGCTATTAGAAAAATTTGAATTACATATGTGGCTTACATGTTCATTTGTCAGCATTGCCCTATAGTTTAAAACATGAACCTTTTGATTTATTACAATCTGTCTTGATTATTATAATAATATAACATTCACACATAATTTAAAACCCATAAAATAGTATTTCTATTTCCTCTCCTGTCTTTTGGTCCATTGTTGTTATATATTTTACTTCTATATGTTGTGAATCACACACTAAATTATTATTTTGATCTTAGTTATCAATTATCTATTAAAGCCCTTTAAAGTGAAGGGAAAAGTCTTTTTTATATACCTGTTTATATATAATTTCCTGCCCTCTTCATTTCTTTGTATAGATATAAGTTTACAAGTTACATCATTTTCTTTTTGCCTGGAGAATGTTACTTAACATTTCTTATAATGCAACCTGCTTGTGCTTAATTTTGTCAGCTTTTGCTTATCTGAAAAATGTTTTTAGATAGTATTTTTTTATTTATATAAGATTTTATTTACTGACTTCTCTGAAACATGCTAAATTCATATGGTTAATAGCTAACTTAGCTTACTAAGCTAATATGTTTCTGAATATGACAAATGTCTTCAAAAGTTATTCTAAGATTAAAGTTATTCATGTCAGTCTTGAGAAATAAACATGAACATTACATGTAGGTGGTAAAATTCAGTTCATAAAGTAAGATAAATATCAAATAATATATATCACTCTTCCAGTTTATTAGAAATGACAGTCGTGCTTAATACTTTGGTTAAGTAGAAAGAGAAAATGGGCAGAGGCGTCATAGACGCAGGTAAAGATTTAATGTGGTTCAAATAATCTTTAGCCCTTCCAAGAAATTATAGATGAAAAATATGTAGTACATACTTCTGTAATATGGTAGTTTCAGTTCACTATAGTAATTATTTCATTCATTCATTCAAATAACTGCTGTTGTTTCTGATCACTGAAACACAGATTTTGCAAAGTTAGTCATTGTTTAACAAGTTGATGATACTATAAACCCCTTACACCACAAATTATAGCTTAAATCTGAAGCATACTGGTTATTCATAATTACTTTCTATGTACAATAAGACTATGCTGCTATATATAATCAGGTATATTGTGGTGCACGTTTAATTCCAATTACCATATTTTATATTTATTGATCATCAACAGCACAAATTTATTCTCCAAAAGAAATATACTGATCTAACAAAATGGTTACATTTAATCTTATTTTAAAAGACAAATCAACTAAATTAATGGAAGAATTGGCTTTTCCTTATATCTCATTTTCAAATTACTAATACAAATTTATCAAAAAATTGTATACTTTACCTACCATCAAATAATTTACAAGTTTCCAAGATACATACATTTCTTGTTCGATTTCCAAAAATAAAAGCTTTCTAATTGAAAACATTTGCATTCCTAGCTCTCTAAAGTAGACATTAACAAGAAAATACAAAAAATGATCTCTTGGCTTTTGAATAGTCCACTCAGTTATATGAAGTATTTTCTTTCCTAACATTTTTTTCAAATTCAAAAAATATTTGCTTCCAAAGAACATGACAAACAGAATCTTCATTTCAAGTCCTTTACTGTTTCCATGGTAACACTGCAGGATTCCTGGGCTACCATAGTTCCATTAGCTGACTATGGAATTTCTCAATCTTCTTTACATCTTGAGTTTGGTCTGTTCTATACATTAAACAAACTAAATCATCTGTTACTCTAATATACAAACTCCCACCCAAATACCTATATTTGAGAACTACACATGTCTTTATAGGGTGGGTAAGCTGGCTGAACTCCTCCCAGGTCTGATACTGTGACATAGTGACCCTGGGGTGGAATGAGAGAAGGACAAGACTGCAGGACCATGCCCACTTACCTCCCCACCAACCAACAGCTACCCCTCCTATAGCTACCAACCAACACAGGACATTCAGATAATCTTTACTTTTGAAGGATAATTTTACTTGATAGAAAATTCTAAGTTGGCAGGCTTTTGAAATTTCTTAAAAGTTGCTATTCCAGTGTGTTTGGACTTACATAATTTTTGATGAGAAGTCAGTAGTAATTCTTATCTTTTTCCTGTACAGTGTTTTTGCTGTGTCCTATACCTATATCTACAATATCTTTTTGTAATTGATCCATTTTCTACTTTTCAATAATTTTACTGTGGTATGTCTTGGAGTGGGTTGGTGTATCTGGGAGTGTATGGGTGTTTCTAACTTGAAGTTCATTGAAAATTTTTGTTCTTCAGAGGTTTAAAAAGTTAGAAAATGTTTTGTCATTATTTTTTCAAATATTTTTCTTCCCCAACTTGTCTCATCTCTTTCTGAGGCACCAATTATGCACTATGTTATTTTAATATTCCTACAAGTTGGCTCAGTGCCTGTAGCTCAATGGCTAGGGCACCAGCCACATACACCAGATCTGGTAGTTTCAAATCCAGCCTGGGCCTGCCAAACAACAGTGACAACTACAACCAAAAAATAGCCCAGCGGGATGGGTGCCTGTATACTTGGGAGGCTAAGGCAAAAGACTCACTTAAGTCCAAGAGTATGAGGTTGCTGTGAGCAATGATGACACACACTCTACCAAGGGTGACATAGTGAGACTCTGTCTCAAAAAAATATATGTATATATTCCCACAAGTCACTAAGACTTTTTCCTCACCTTTTTATTTTTGGTGCACTTGAGATAAATTCTCTTGCTATCTTTAAGTTTAATGATACTTTCTTCTACAATCTGTGATCTGCTATTAATCAGATCCAGGAAAATTTTTACTTTTGTTATTCTGTTTGTTATCTCTGGCAGTTTATTTTGTTCATATTTACATCTTCAATTTTTCTTTCATCATATTCATGTCTCTCTTGCATTTTTAAATATATGATGATGTTTATAGTATCTGTTCTAAAATCCTTGTCTGATAATTTTGCCATCTTTTTCATTTCTGAATCTGTTTCTACTGTCTGATTTTTTTCTCCTGGTTATTGACCATATTTTTCTGCCCCATGTGTAATACTTTTTATTAGAAGGTACACATTGTAAATTATACTTTGTTGGTTGCTAGTTTTTTGTTTTGTTTTGTTTTTGTTTTTTGCATTTTTAAAAAAAGATTTTGGGATTTCATTCTTACCAGCAGTTAAGTTACTTGTGTTCAGTTTGGTTCTTCTGGGCTTGTTTTTCTTTCAAAACAAGTCAATAGTATTCTTTATTCTAGGGCTAACTTGGCCCCACTTGTAAGTCTTAGCCTTTCTGGGATTTCTGCTGAATGCTCTGTGTACTCAACGTAGCCTCTTCGACTTTACACTTAGGCTGATGGAACCTATAATAATCTCTAGCCTCTGTGATTTCTACAAATTTGTCTTCTTCTTAGCAATGGAATCTGTTTATATCCACTCTTGTGGATATTTACTCTGTCATTCAGATTTATATTCAGTTATTGCTTCATGGAGATCACTTATATATGTATAAGTCTTCCTGTATGTGTCTCCCTCCTCTTATTACTCTTTGACAAAATTCAAGCCTCCTTGAACTGTGGTCTCTTTTCCTTTAACTCAATCATGTAGCATGTTTTGTTTGGGTTCCATCCTTTACCATATTTCAAAAATCATCTACAAGAAGAAAGCTTGGGTATGGTAAGGTTCACTTTGTTTCTCTTCTCTTTCTCTTCTTCAGGGATCACAGTCCTGAGCTTTCTACTGTCCAATTTCTAAACATTTTTCCTCTATGTTTTGTCCAGTTTTCTAATTATCTATGGTAGAAGCATAATTCTGGACTCCATTACTAACTTGTGGACAGAAGCAGAAGACACCTTACAATTTTTGGAGCTATTTCTCTTAAAACCCACCCAACAATTTTTACCTATACTATTATTAGCCATAACTTAGAACATGGCCATTTCTAACTACAAGCACAGCTAGAAAGCATCATTGTTTAACTGACTACATTATACACACACACAAAATACCAATAAAAATTAATGTGCTATTACATGATGAAAGGGAAAAATCAATATCATGTTAGCAATTGGCAATTTCTGCTACAACTTTATTTCATTATGCATTATAATGCATTTTAAGTGACCACAAAATGGCATAAAATACGAATGTGTCATTTATTTGACTATTTCTCCTCTTTTAATGGACTTTTAACTTGTCTGCATGATTGTTTTGCCACAAACCATACACACATACATACATGTACTTACATACATATATCTATTACCAACATGATATTTCTTTTGTTTCTCTTAATGATTGTATTGTTATCCTATTCCCTTTACTTTCTATGAGTTTTTTCTTTACATATTTAATTTCTATGTTTTTTGGTACAAACTGGTTTATGTCTTTTTTGTTACAAAGTGTTTTTTATTTTGTTTGGTGATTTTTAACCTTATATTCCATTTTGTCTAATTTTGTTATTTCTATATATCTTGTATTCTGAAACCAATTCTCTGACACCAACTGGGTGTCCTACAATTCTATTCAATTCTGGTACTAACTACCCAGTGTTCTTTAGAAGCCAGTAAGAAATGAAGTTCCCAGACTACCCATACTTCCCTTTGACTTGGCTACCCTCTGATCCCCTCCAGGTTTAATAACTCTCTAGAATGACACACATGACTCACCAAAAGTTCTATCCTTACAGTTACAGTTTATTATAAAGAATAGAACTCAGGAACAGCCAACTAAGAGACATTTAGGGCCAGATTTGGGAAGGAAGGTCCCAAACACAGAGCTTCTGTGCCCTCTCCCATGGTGTCAGGGCATATATCCTCCTGACTACATGTTCACCAATCAGAAGCTCCTCCAAGCCTCAGTGTCTTGGATTTTTAAATTGGTTTTCATTATATAGGCTTGATTGATTAAATCATTGGCCACATGATTGAGCTCCTCCCTTCTTCAGAGCTCAGGTAGATGAAAGTTCCAGCCCTCTTTCTAATCATGTGGTTGGTTTTTCTGACAATGGTCCCCATCTTGAAGCTAGTTAGATCCCCACCAGATGTTACCTCATTACCATAACAAAGACACTTCTATTACTTGGGAAATCTCAAGGGTTTTTGAAGCTCTGTGCCAGAAACTTGGAACCAAGATTAGATACTTTTTTTTTAACTACACCACACATTTCTTTTTGTATTCCTTAAACTTTAACCTTTCTTTATGATAGTGTTTTAAGAATGATTCCTATAAATGAATGTAGGTGGGCATTTTTAAACACTGAATGTCTGTACCTTTTTATTTTTAACACAGAGTATTAAATCCTTTATTGTCATCAAGTAATCAGTAGAAGTATTTTTTGATGGAAGAATTCAGTCTATCCTCATTTAATATGATTGATATATTTGATTATCTTCCTCTTCTATACTTAATAGTTGAGTACACTTTGTTTTGGGGGAGGTTTGTTTGTTTATTTGAGACAGAGTCTCACTCTGTTGCCCTGGATAGAATGCCATGGTGTCAGTCTAGCTCATGGCAACCTCAATTTTGGGGCTCAAGCTATCCTCCTGCCTCAGCCTCCTGAGTAGCTGGGACTATATACTTTGTTCATTTTTCCTCTTCCCAAAGTTAGCCAGTATTACTAAATTGATATTTATTCTCTTTTGTTCTATGTTAGTGTGGAGGTTTTTATTTTTAAATGGTTGCTTTCTATTTTCAAACACCAATAATCAAAATGTATTGTTCTATCATACACATAAACAAGAAATAAACTAATTTCTCTATTAAAGAAAAGACAGCAGGTTCAAAGTAGAGTCATTCATGCTAAGGCTCCACGTCACCAAACCGAAACCTAACTTGTTTACTTTCTGAGGAACTTGGGAGAGAGATGATAGCCAAATCCCATTAAATCAAAAAGATTTCTTATAAGGACAGTAACTTGAAAGGACAAGTTTGGTTTTATCCATTGTTTCTACTTTCTTCAGCCCTTTTTGCCTATAAAGTCCTTGCCCTCTGTACAGCTTATTAAAGCAGCTACTTCTATTTTATAAACAAAATGCTGCCCAATTTGTGTATCACCAATAAAGGCCAATTAGATTTTTAAAACTCAATTTGTTGAAAATTTTTTTGACACATCACAAAATGTTCTATTCCTTGTCATCCCCTGATAATATTTCCAAATAAGATGAGACAGAATACTCCTAGAGCCACCCTTTCACCTATCCCCACTTCCCTACTCTTACTTGCCAAGATAGTTTGGGGTTTTTGTGCTAAACTAATTTTAGAATTTTCCTTGCAAAGTGTCTCTTATTTCAAGTGCTCTCATTTAGCACTTAAACTGCACATTCTCAGAGACTATCGTAATCCATTTAAGATTTAAATAACCATGTATCAGACATCTAATAAATATTTTATATATGCCTTTTGAGCTGTGTAACTTAATATTTGGATACTTGATAATTTTATTATGTAATTGATAAAATGGTGATGTGGATTAATGTTAGTTCAACTATATATTTATACTGTCTGGGAGTGTGTGGTTATAGTTCTGTGGGAGAAATAATTTGTCAGTGTTCACAAGCTTGTAAAAACTTAGTGCAAGAGCTTAAACATCTAAATAAATAATGAAATGCATTTATCATCAATAAATAAATAACCATGTATGTAATGGGGAAAATGGAAGGAGAGGAGGAAGAGAGGGAAAGAAAAGAGAGATTAAGAAAGAGAGATCAACATTTGTTGTATACTCTTCCTTCTACTTCATCTTCAACATTTTTTATTGATACTTTTTTTTGCATATTTATGGGGTGCATGTGATATTGTTATATATATAGAATGTAATGGCAAAGTTGGGCTATTTGGCTTCAACTTAAAGTCACTAGCTGTAT